ATCAGCGACCTTCTTGCTTGTGAGGCCACAGTGCTAACCACTGAGCCAGCAGGACGCCCAGTTATACTATTGTCTTAGTTTTTTTATTTTTTGTTTTCTATTCTAGATTTGTTTTTGACCACGATCATAGGGTGGGACAAATCATGAGATAATAATAGATCCGCTTGTGGCTCGTCTGTAATTGCAGGGTTTGATGGGTGTTTCTACATCCAGTCTATTTCTACACCAAGTGAATCATGGCGTTGAAAGGAGGACATACAGCATCAAATCTGTCCAGAAATGGATATTTTGTTGTGTAAAAATACAAAATTTAAGCATTAAATCAAAACCTTATCTAAAATGGATAAACATATTTTATGGAAATATCAATGCTTTAACACTGTAAAAAAGTGATTAATTGACTTAAAAAAAAAACTTTAAGTTTAAAAAGTGAGTAAACATGTTGCATTTAAGACGATTGACTTTATTTATATAGCGATTTTTCAATTGTCAAAACACCTTAACATAGAAGTTTTAGATTGAAACTGTGCCAGTCCAGTCAGTTTTAGACTTGAAGTTTAGTTTAGTTCAGTGTGGTTTAATTTTTACTGCTGAAAGTCCAAACACTGAAGAGCAAATCCAGTGATGCGCAGCTCCACAAGTTCCAAAAAAGTTCCCACTTTGCTTAAAAATGTCAGTTACTCTGTTGCCTTAAAATTGTTAAATGAAGGATGTGCATAATTATAAAATGTACACTGTAAAACCCAACAGTCAACTTTATCAAATGAAATGAGTGTAGTTAACTCAAAATTGACTGGAGTCTAATGACTCTTTTCTCATTTGAAAAGAGTTTTGAACTCAGTGTTGAAGGTAATGAGGTAATTAAATACCTCATCACTTCAACCTAAATGGAGTAAGTTCACAGTACTCAAACAGATTTGTTTTTTTTTAAACTTAAATGTTTTGTAGCAATCGGTTTCCTCAGTCGGTTTGAGTTGCCTTAACTTATTGGGCTTTACAGTACTCCGTTGGTTTGAGTTCTGTTCATTTATTGGGTTTAACTTTGCTCAAATTGCTTCGTTTACTCAAATGGATTAAGTTCACAGTACTCATTTGGATTCGTTTTTGAACTTAAATGGTTTGTTGCAATCGGTTTTCACAAATGGTTTGAGTTACCTTAACCTTTTTGGGTGTTAAAGTGCACTGCAAGTCGTCAACTTAAAACTTCCAACACTGTAAAAAAGGCTGGGTTTCATGCAATTTCATCATGGTGTCCCAAAACAAATTGATTTAGTTAACTTGATAGTTTTTACAAATTTAACTTGATTGAACGTAAAACAATTAAGTTGTCACCAAAAAACTCAACAATTGTGTTGATCCAGCTCATTTTAAATGAGCATTTTGAACAAGCAGTAAACAGTTAGAATGAAGTTAGAATGGATTTACGTAAAGTAATGGTTTTAAGTAAAAAGTTATAAAAATAGCTATAAATATCCTGCCTAAACTTCATTCCCTATCTTCATTTTGAACCCCCAACCCCCCTTTAAGTGGGCCTGATATCAGTACATTGCTGCTGACCATAGACTGAGTTCAGAACAGATTATGTGTGGAAATGTTTTCAGTGTGTGAGAGAGCTCAAGTTATCAGATTTCATCAGAAACAGTCTGTAACAATCTTTGAAGTCTTCAAATCCAATAATGTGGTGGTGTGGGAGTCTGTATCTCGGCCATCAAAGCTCGAGCAGTGAAGATGTTGGAGACAGACACACATTTATATACAAAAACAATCAGACTTGATCAGTTAATGTACTGTTTGTTTATTAAACAATATCTAGATTGTATTTTTCATGTCAGCAATAAATGTGCTCTGATTTAAACCCCCTCTAAAAATCCTGGCGGGTTTGATTCATCTATGTTTATGGCACCAATATAACTAGCTGAATAGTTTCTGCATCGGAAATTACCCAAATCATCACACAAGCCATCTTGGTCATTATCTCCTGCAAATCCTTATGTTCTGATTAATTTTTAACAGTTGTAGGATATAAAATAACTGAAATCATTCGGCGTAGTGATATGGAACTGTAAAGCGGTCACAATCTGCTTAGAACTACTTTAGCTGTGCATCTATTTCAAAATAATTGCACACCTAGAATATTCATCAGCTAATCAGAATAAAGAATACAGCAGCCCTGTAGTACAAGCAAAAACAATTGTAAATTATGTAGAATTCTAAATATAATATTGAAAAGAAAAAGCAAACATTCAGTTATGCTTGAGAAAATGGAGGTTATACTTGGTGGATCTTGTCAAATTGATCAATTAGTTCTTTCTTTTGAACTCATAAGAGTGTTTGTAACTTTTAAACACCAATGTGCAAAATATTTAGCATACAACCAGTGAATTTGGGTGATCTTTTGGCAAGCTGTCTACTTGTGTTTCCAGTCTAGACCCTAAAACAACTGTCACCCAGTAAACTTTACATAATAAAAGTGTTCAGTGTTGGGTAAAAAGTGATATATTAAAATCTTAGGCCTGTCTACATCTTTAAAAAATGCAAAAACAAACAGCATTACACATACTTTTATTTATTTTTCAATTAATTAGTTGCCATTTTGCCAATTTGACAAGACAGTGGAATAGGATTTGATGGGATTCGATAGGATAGGATTCCAGGGTTTCTGCAGGTTTCATAGAGTCAAATTTAAGACTTTTAAGACCCTTTCAAGTCCATTAAGAATGAAATGTTCGACTTATACAGCGTTAAACACTAAGCATTATTTCTAATGGCCTGGTATTATCGTCACAATACCGTAAATTTGTCACAATACTATACCAGCTGAAGTATCACAATACTAGGTAGAATTTCAATCTGTATTAATTCATAATTTAAATCTTTAAAATGAAGCAAATTGTGAGAAATACTATATGTTATATGTTGTCATTTAATTCATAATTCATAACTTATTATTAAAAAAGTTTTATTCATACATACATTCTGTTTTATTTGAATACACCGTGACTCTTTTGTTGTTAGAATAATAATAAAATAAATAAAATCATTGATTTATTGATTGAATCAATCCACAAGCAACATTAACTATTGTAGAACCGGTAATGACGATACTACTGTTTAAAAACTACAGTAGCATCACCAGTATTTTGGAGCCATAGATTCATGGTACTACTGTAGTACCAGTAAACCGTGCAACCCTATGGTGAGGTGTATCGTGTAATTGTTTTTAGTTTTCTTTCTCTAATTAGGGAATTTAATTTGGGGATTTTGCTGTAACATGTCTAACAGTTGTTGAGAATCTCTTTGCAATAAAAAAAAAGCTTTTATTTATTTAAAACTAGATGTATTGTTGGTCATTGGATGGATGTAGGCTCGATTAAGTAGCTTAAACAAAGCAAAATGAAACTGGTTTAAAAGGATTTAAGTCCTACAACACAATATTTCAGTGAATTTAAGACTTAAGGCCTAAAGTCGAAAATTAAGACATTTTAAGACACCCTGGATTCAAATTTGGGATCCACAACCCGGGATTCAAACTTGGGATGCCAGGAGTGGCGCTATTTATCGGTGCACTAACCACTGGGCTATTTCCCTGACAACACATATATTTATGCTGCTAATGTCAAAGTATGTGTTATTTTATTTGTGTGTGTGTTTTTTTTTTATTAAGATAGCCTTAGGATTATAATATATTACTTTTTACCCACACTGAAAGTTTTTACATTTACAGCTTTAAAACAAGCGCAAATAAAAAAGATATTATCAGGACAAAATAAAGAGTATAGAAAAGATTAGTTTGATCAGGTTAAGTACTGTAAATATAGTGGTTTAAACAAGTGTTGTGATTTGAACACATCCTATATCACCTGAGGGGTATTGCACAAAAGTAGAATTAAGAAAGCCATGATAATAAAAAAAGTGCGGCTTGACCTACTGTCTCTTAATCAGAGAATGCTTTTATTTTGGTGCACGTTTGCTGATCCAGGATGAGAATATGCCACCAAGTTAAGCCCAATTTAGATAACTGGGATGAGTTCACATTCATTGCATTCTTCAAAAGACAATGAGATCGATCACAGAATGCAAATACAGATGATGTTAGATGATGTGAGCCAATCAGGTGACGAGTTGAAAAACGCCCCTCTGGCCAACCAATCGGATGACTCCCATGAGTTTCATTCAGAGATTAAACAGAAACATATGAATAGGTGAAATCAAATGTATTAAACTAACAGTTGTTCACTTGCCCTAAAATGTGGACATTCGTGTTATTCAGGAAACTTATGATGAACGATAACTGCAAACGTTTAACCAGTATTGAGCAACTGTTTTTACTGTTTAGTTTATTTGATCTATTTAATCATCTAAACTGCCTGACAAAAGTCATGTTGTGGATCCCTGTTGTAAGAGCAACATATAATAACTTGACTTCTAGTTGATCATTTGGAAAAATGGCAGAAGGTAGATTTCTCTGATGAATCATCTGTTGAACTGCATCCCAATCATCACACATACTGCAGGAGACCTACTGGAACCTGCATGGACCCAAGATTCTCAGAGAAATCAGTCAAGTTTGGGGAAGAAAAAATCATAGTTTGGGGTTACGTTTAGTATGGGGGCATGTGAGAGATCTGCAGAGTGGATGGCAACATCAACAGCCTGAGGTATCAAGACATTTGTGCTGCCCATTACATTACAAACCAGAGAAGAAGGCACATTTTTCAGCAGGATAGCACTCCTTCTCATACTTCAGCCTCCACATCAGTTCCTGAAAGCAAAGAAGGTCAAGGTGCTCCAGAATTGGCCAGCCCAGTCACCAGACATGAACATTATTAAGCATGTCTGGGGTAAGGATAGAGGAGGAGGCAATGAAGATGAATCCAAAGAAAAGTCAGACCTTACTGTCCTAATTAAAATAATAAACATTTCACACAAGCCACGTCTGTTACCAAATGATCAACTAGAAGCCATTAAATTATTTGTTGTTCCTAAAACTTGGACAGGCCACAAGACTTGTCAGGTAGTGTATACTTTTTTAATCTCTTTCATTTATTCATTTATTCTCTTTCGATTTATTTGATCTCTTTATATAATAATTTGATATATTAGCAAATAAAATAGTAATATTGTGACTGTAAAACACATTCATTTCTAGTAACATTTAGAGCAAAACCAGCAGATAAATCAATAGGATTAATCTTAGACTGGCTGTCTCAATAGTAGCTAAATTTGGCTTAACCAAGCCTAAATTCAGCCAGGATGTATTGAAAATCCCAGCTCAATCCCTTATCTTGCTTTTGTGCAACACCCCTTTAGCTCAGCTCTTTATCATAACATCAGTCTCATTTAAGCAGAATGAAGAAACACACAGAAGTTCTTATACTCCTCAAAGAAGTGCAGCTCTTCAGAGAAGCTGGTGGAATAACCCAAATCTTTACATGAGGTCTTGATTGTGTGAACCACACAGACGGGAATTGTGTCAAACAGAAGTTCAGCCAACTGCGTCATCGGAAGCTTCTTCTGCTCCAAAACCAGACTCTGTATCCGGGCTTTATCGACAGGCTCAGGCGAGGCGCTGTAAGAAACCACAACGTTGAGTTTGTCATCAGACGTCGGCACCTGAAAGCGGCTCTTTCCTGTCAAACCCTGGAAGTCTTTCTTGTTGGTGAACAATCCAGTGGGTGAGTTAAAGATGCGGACCGACCAGCAAACCCAGTCGTACTTCTTTTTTAGGTGCTCTACCAGCATGTCGGCCAGTTGCTGGTTGCTTTTGTCGCTTTGGTCTCTCACTATGCGTTTGGCGTCCAGCTCAGATTGCGTAGGAAAGCTATTAATGCAGTCTTCAATCACGACGATCATTTTCGACTGGACTACTTTCATCTTTTCGCTCCACTCTTGAAGCAACTTCTCCTCCTCGTCGTCGCCTTTTAGTGCAGCGTGTCCCAGTAGAGCGATCAAACCGACACAGAATAATTTCTTGAGCGTGGCGCAATACTCCTCCACCGCCCTTCGGCTCTTCTGCTCGTAATTCAGAGTGATCTCCAGCACGGACTCCCCTGAGAAGTTATCTCCGGTTACTGCGCTATAAAGAGTGTGCAGGTTTTTATCGCCGCCTGTCCGGTTGAAGTGGTCCAAGAACGTCTTCTTCCTGACCTCTCTGAATTTGGGTTTGGCGTTCAGGACGTCCATGAACTTGCGGAACTGGTTGGTCAGATTCTCCTCCACGGTGAAGTAGGTGGCATCGACTCCGCTTTTCTTGATCTCCTGGTTTATCTGCTGGACTTCTTCTGAAACAACTTCAAGGCGGTCTCTCACTTTCTGGAACTGCTCCTTCATGTATTCGGCTTCTTTGCTTTCGACGTTGTCCAGCGCCAGCCTTACGATCGGAGCCGCAATGGAGAACACTGGGAAGAGATCTCCAGCGATACTGGCCACCACTTCTGCACCCTGCTCAAACACTTCCATGACGTTCTCCACAACATCCTTTTTCTGTGCAACCAGTTTCTGCAGCTGTGCGGCCATCTTGGGATTCAATAGTAAAAGTATCTGTTGAATACGATAAAAAGATTTAGAATTGGGTATATGCACACAAACTTGTAATTTGCAGGAAGCCAGCTCAAGCACTTCCAGTGAAATGTCACGCTAGGACTGAATGATAAATCGCATGCGATTGTCATACACATTATTCTATAAGACAGCTCTGCCGTCAGCTGTGAATCTCCAGCATCTGTTTAGCTGGAGCAGCATTTACTACACAAAAAGGCATAGTTCTCTGCCAAACTATGCAAAATATCGAAATATCATCAAATAATTATTCTGCGATATTGACAACTGTTTGCGTAGCTTCAGGGGTGAACTATGACCCTTTGCAGTAAATGTTGCTCATGTTAAAGAGTCCCTGTTATGGGTTTTTGAAAAAGACCCTCCATGCAGTGTGTAAAACAGCTCTAAATGAATGAAAACATCCAGCTAAGGTCTGAATTTGAAAGTGCACTGACTTTAAAACTACTGATTCCTTAACAAAATAGTCGACTCAGAGTCGAATAGATGAATCGTGTTGGGTTTGGATCTTTTGCCTGAAGGCATCGACGTCAATATGGTACATCACCAAATATGTAGTGCCGGATTCTGTGAAATGTGAACGCGCCTTTTCCTTCAGACTCTAGCGGATCACGGGACTGATCGTGACACAAAGATGACGATCACTGAGAGATATAGATTCAGTTGTGGGGAAAAAGGGTTAAAGTTCATTTTCGCAACAATACTACAGTATAGCCAACCTTGTATTGTGTTTGTTCCTGTCATTTTTCTGATTTTTAATAACCAGCCATTTGCTATTATAGGAAGAAGCAGCAGAGATTATTATTTATTGAACTTTGTCAGACGTTGCAGGGACTTTGTCAGTAACTACTACAGTTCATATGGCCCAGTTTATTCTTTCTCCATATCATATACACAGTTGAAGTCAGAATTATTAGCCCTCCTTTGACTTGTTTTATGATTTTCAAATATTATACAAATTATGTTTGCAAAGTAAGGAATTTTCACAGTGTGTCTAATAATATTTTCTCTTCTGTCTGAAGTCTTATTTGTTTTATTTTGGCTAGAATAAAAGTAGTTTCTATTTTTAAAACATTTTAAGGTGAAAATTATAAACCGCTTTAAGCTATATATTTTTCTGACAATAACTTGCCTAATTACCCAAATCTGCCTAGTTAACCTAATTAACCTAGTTAAGCCTAACACACAGGTGGGCTAATAATTCTTACTTCAACTATATATATATATATATATATATATATATATATATATATATATATATATATATATATATATTATAGATATAGGTATATATTACAACGATATATTTCAAAACATATATTTTATCTAATTTATTGTATTTTTCTTTAAACTTTTGAGAGTTTTTAAAATAAGTTATTTCATATCAAATTAGTCTGTTCTCAGCAATACGACAGGGTTGTGTAAATTTAAATATTCTCAGTTCTGCCACAGTGTGCTTCATTTGTATTAATTTATAATACTGGTTCAAACACACTTTTCTAAAAATAACTTTAAAGATTGATATCCCAGTTGCAAATGTTTTTGCATTTGACACCAAATTTTATTTTGCGCCTAAAAAATTAATTCAACCCCTAATTAAAATGTTACATTCTTTCTTGCAGCCTCATGCCATTCCAATGTCATAAGAAACTTGTTCATCAAATGAAGATTTTTTTAAATCAAATGTGATGAATTTCTGTCTATTCATCCCGAACTCTTATGCTTTAAAAGATTCATAATATGTTGACTTTTTTCTTCTTCTTTATGAATGTTTTAGGTGAGCATTCTGATTTCATCAAATAGTCTATATCATTTTATTTATATATTCATAATAAATTTATATTTATAATAATTCATAATAATTTATATTTATATATTCATTTTGTTCTAAAGAGGAATCAAAATCTTTTGGGACACAGATAATGGTGAGTATAATGTGAACTAACCATTTGTAGTAGTCCAAAGAGACAAAACATGCTGTTTTCTCATTCAAATGATTTTGAAAGTCAGTTTTCATTCATGTTACATTCTTATCCAAGCAAACCTGTAGAGTTTTTGTCTCCTCAGAGTGGTAAAATGAAAAGAACTTACATATGTCGGTCCTTTTTCCTCTCAGGCTTTAAGCAGTCAATGTGAATCCGGTTGGTCTGCTGAACAAAGATGAATGAAATATGAAATGTGTTATAGACACCATAACAATACTTGAACAATACACACCAGGTGTATGTACACAGAGTCTTGCTCATTCTGACAACCACACCTACACACTCATAAAAGAAATGGGCCATACTATGTGCATTCAGTCAGCTAAAACACACACTAAAATAATTGGCAAATAATGTACACTTAGTCACAAATACAAAGTATGCAACAGTTGGAGGAGCATTTCAGCTGGAAACAGTTCAAATGGATTTCCCCTTTGCCAAATGTTAATGATGCAACACACAGCGCAGGTCAAGGATTAGCTTAAGGGAACCAAGTAGAGTGTTAGGTCATTTTATAACTTCCTACAAAATCATATGAACTATTAGTCCATATAGTTTCGATATACTTAATGTCTTGTGATCTAAATGCTTGTGCTTAAAGGGATAGTTCATCCAAAAATGAAAATTCTGTCATCATTTGCTGACCATTTACTTGTTTCAAACCTTTACAAGTTTCTTTATTCTGTTAAACACAAAAGAAGACATTTTGAAGAAAGCTTGTAACCCTTAAATTCCATAGTATTTGTTTTTCCTAGTGGAAGTCAATGGTTACAGGTTTTTGTCTTTCTTCAAAATCAAAACATTTATTATGTTCAACTGAATAAAGACACTCATGTAAAGGACAGTAAAGTGAATGTTCATTTTTGGGTGAACTATCCCTTTAATGCTACAGTAGGTATTGTAGCTCCAAAACGAAGGGGATTTGAATTCCTTACAATTATTTGGAAATGTGACTTTTTGGCTGGTTGTGTAAAAATAAATACACTTTGAATTCTCATTAACTATAGAATTGGGATAGCATCCACCAAAACATCTAACGATTTTTCATTAACCTTTCTGGCTAGTGCCGGTTCAGGTGTGGGAATGATTAGTAGGGTAGTTTAATTATTGTAGCTGAGCAAGAACCTTTTTTTTCGAAGCACCTCATTAACCATGGAAACAAGACAAGGAAAACAGCATGTCAGCTTCTCTGAAGACTCCCACATTGTGCTCTTTTATTCTGGGCAGTAGCTACAAAAATTCCAACATTACAAGATGAAATCTCACTTGTTTCGCAAGCATGTTGACCACTTATGAACCAAAATAGACCTAAAAGGATGCTGGAAATGCTGAGAACACTTATGACTTGTCAGCATGGATCATAAAAAATGTATTACTAATTTAATGCACTAAATGGCTCCATTAGCATTTAGTTAGTCTTCTATGGGGTACCAATTCAGCATGGCAAAATTTCAAAAGGTCTTGCAGCTAAAACATATAAGACTGCCTTATGAGTAGGCTCACACGGAATCGGCAATGCAGAAATCTGCAGATTTTTTGCCCATCATTGAGTCTATTTGTTTACTTGTGTAAATGTGTGTAAAATTGATATTTTTTCAGTTTTTAAATTAATTTCAGTAATATTATTGTGATATAATAATAGGAATATTAAAATGGTCATATGATTTATTTACAATACAGTCTGTAAAGTAATATTTTCTGTCTTTCAATAGATTTATTATTTGAGACTTGCTTTGTTTACCAAATAAGTGGATCTAACTGGATTTGCATTGTAAACATTAAATAAAAGTTTAAATATATATATATATATATATATATATATATATATATATATATATATATATATATATATATATATATATTTTTTTTTTTTTTTCATATATTAAGTTTTTAGTTATGATATTCCTAAAATAAATCCACAGATTTATTATTATTATTATTATTATTATTATTATTATTTTTTTTTACAAAATTCTCTACAAAAATAGCAAACAAATGTCTGCAGACTCATCATGAGACACAAATAAACATCATTGGAAATTCTTATGGTTTCAGCCCTTGGTATAATTAACCATGTTTGTGCTATGCTAGCCATACGTTAAAATTTGGTTAAACAAAACGGATTTCAGTACTTCAAAAAACGTGGTTACTACAATTTTACCATAATAAAACTATAGATAATATTCATAATGATTGTTATGCATTATGAACAACTGGTACTTATACGATAATATATAGAAATAATATTTAATGTTTAAGCTATAAGCCTGGTTTAAGCTGGACATGGTTTGGTTGGGCTCCTAGCCTATCTAAGCTGGTCAAGTTAGTTTTATCTGGTCATTTCCCAGCCTGACCAGCTAAGACCAGACTGGAAATGGCTGAAGCCAGCCTGGAAATGGCCAAAACCTCTCTTAAACCAGGCTGGTCGACTAGCTAAAACCAACTTGAGCTGTTTTAAGCTGTGTTTTTTCCAGCAGGGATATGTTTATTAGTTAAGCAGTCGATGTATAATAAACAGGGGACGCTAGTGTCCGTAATGGGCTTCAGGTAGATATAAACCCCTTTTCGCGGGTTACTTTGTGGCAACTTGCGTTTGACATTACGTTGCCACTTCATCACCTAGATGACGGAAAGGTAAGTTAGAAGTTGATTTTCACTGGCTAAAATGAAGAAACATTCCCTCCAGACGATTTAGTTTACATATCAGACTGAAAACTACAAGCGATGTTAGTTGACAAAAACACTTCCTGGTTAAGACAGCAGGCAGCTCCCCTCATATCATAGTCAAACAACCCCTCAATCCTTCAGAATGAAACCAAATGCGATTATAATACACTTAATTTCCTTATTTTGCGTAAACAATTAATTAGTTATGCAACTAATTCATGTTTAAAACATCGGAGTATCGAGCTTGAGAAAATGTCTGAGGTGGACACAGCAGACTGTGAAGAGAAACGCCCAGAAAACTTTTCACGAGCAAAAACTGAAACTACAGCTCACAGACCAGCGAAATCATCCTATAATGACCTTTAGAGAAAACATTAGTACTGTATGAACCAAACTCACCTTTTAATCGATCACAAATGGCACAGAGCATAAATTAAGCGAAAGTTCAGTCTGATCTGTTTCTCGCAGCGTCTGATCATGCGCTGGTTCTTGTCTAAAGCAAGTGTGGCACACCCTACAAAGACACACTGGAGGAATTTCAAGTACTTTATCACTGACAAAATCGACCATTGATACATATTTTACACCGAAATATAATAGAGTAATCTAATATTTTCGTTTAAAGTGCACCATGGTATACTTTTTGTTTGTTTGAGACACCTAAATACTTTATAACCACAGTAGTTTCTACGAAAATTGTTGCTATTTTAAAATAATTACTTAAGTTTTTTCTTTATTATCAAACATTATGCAAGGAAACAATTTTATATTCATATTCAGTTCCTTATGTTAACCTCTATGCATTAAGGGATAGTTTACACAAAAATAAAACTTCTGTCATCATTTACTCTGCCTTCACTTGTTTCAAACCTGTCTTAAACACAAAAGAAGATATTTTGAAGAACGCTGAAAACATGTAACCATTGACTTGCATAGTATTTGTTTTTCTGACTATAGAAGTCAATAGTTACAGGTTTTCAGCTTTCTTCAAAGCATATTTTGTGTTCAACAGAACAAAGAAACTCATAAATGTTTTAAAACCAATTGAAAGTGAGTAAATAGTGAGTAAATTAAGTTTTTTTAGGTGAACTATCCCATTAACGAAATTAAATATGAACCTAATTCAATGTCTTTCTTGAATAAGGTCCATTAGCTTAACCCTTAAACAACCAAGAGTGGGGAAATGCAAAAGCAAAAATTATTTCATGTTGTTTTGTTTATCATCTGGACTTAGGTGAAACAAATCCAAAATTATTTTGCATATATTTGATTTATCTAGGTTTATTTGAGTCTTATCTCCCAAGCTGTTTTAGAGGTAAAAACAAAACGTGGCTGTTGATACCTTGAAACAAATGTCTAGACCATAGTTTTTTTTATTTGTGATTACATACCATCATAAGCATTGAAATTGACAGGATTCTTAAATCACAGACAATATATAGCTAGAGCACTCATTATATTTCATTTAGAAATACCATTACAAGAAAAAGAATCTAACATTTTAAACAATATGCTTTTTGATTGTAAACAACACTAAACAACACAACTAACAAGAAAGCCCCATGAGCCTGTAGTTTTCGAGGAACTACTTTCTCTTCTAAACTAGAAAATACACCAATTTGATCTGAAATACACTTTTATATTTGGTCACAGACATATATTTGTGTTTATGTTCCATTTAAGCATTGACATGCGAAAATAAAGTAAACCAGCAGTAGCATACTTTCTCGTAGTATGTGCGCAATAACAATTCAGTCATCATTTGTTTTATCGATAATGCTTGACCTGTTTAATACAATCAAATGTTCTAAACCAGAAATATGTAGGAGACTGATATCAAAGTTTGGCACATCTATTCAGAGTGAATGCACAGGTATGCCTTCTTGTGCCTCGCGAAGTAGAAACACTCCGGCTGGAAGTTGTTTTTCTCTTCTACTTTCTTATAGCAGCTGATAGCATGGACCACAGTGTTGGGAAGAGTCTTCCACAGCGTCTGAGCCACAGACTGCATGTTGCCCTTCAGCTTCTGCATCTCTATCTGATCTACAATCTCGCTCTTGTTAATCGGTTTCGGGTCAGCGCTGAAAGACACCACGATTCTGACGTTGTTTGGGGTCAGGAGGTCAAAAAAGTTGCCACCTCCACCGCTTCCGTGGTACTTCTTGCCAGCTAGCCAATTCCAGAAGAATATACCGCTGTGGTTGAAGACCCGAACTGACCAGGAAACCCAGTAATATTTCTTCTCGAGGATATCCAGTATAAATCCGGTGAACTCTGGGTTGACGTTGGCTTGTCGCTCCAACAGTTGCCGCTCAACATCGGTCTTGGCCTGCAAGGGGAAATTCTCAATGCAGTCATCCACCGCCGCTTTCATTCGCTTTTCAACGTCTTCCATGCGATCCTGCCATTTTTTCACCATGGCCTCGCCTACCGCTCCCTCCTTAAGGGCGGCGTGACCCATAACTGCTATAATTCCCATGACGAATAGCTTCTTTAGCCTGGCACAGAACTCCTCTACTGGCTTCCTGCTCCTTTCGTCCGTGGTCACCACTGTGTCCAGCATGGCATCCCCAGAGATGTTTTCACCAGTTACAGCATTGTACAAGGAATCAATGTTTATTTCACCACCAGTGTTCTCGTATTGGGTTATGAACTTCTCCTTCTTCTTCTCCTTGAACTTGGGTTTGGCATTGACAAAGTCTTGAAACTTCTCATACTGGCTCATAATCTTAGCCTCACGGTCAATATTCTGCTTGTTCATGGATGTCCTCTGCAACTCCAAAGCAATTTGTTCGATTTCGTCTTGAATCCCTTCCAGTTTTTGGTTGATCTTTTCAAATTGTTCTGCGAGGAACTTGGCCTCTTTGCCTTCTGGGTTCCCCAGAAGCTCCGCGGAAGTCATAAACACCGCTTCAAGGATGGGGTGAAACTGTCCAACAGTGGCTGCTAAAACCTCGCAGCCTTGCCCCATGATTTCCACTCCTTTTTCGATCTTGTCCTTGTTCTCCAAAACCCATTCTTCCACCCGATTCATTCTAGTTCAAAGCAGAGAGGCCGTCTAATCCTTATCTGTAACAGATCAAGGCATATATATCATAAAGTGGAAGCCACAACATGAAAATCAATACTAAAATCGATGCAGCCTTTTCTAAGGGTCATATTTGTTTGCTCATTGATGGGACCTTAACAGTAACCTGAGATTAATCGGACAGCCTGACCACAGAGCAGAAATACCAGAGTGATTGTATATTTATACATGTTTTCCATTGGCTCCAGACGTTTTTTTTTTTAAAAAGAAAAAAGAAAAATTTCAGGTCTTGTTCGGGCATGTCCTGTTCCACCTTACAGCCCGCCAGCTAAGTCTTGGCAAATCATACAACAATAAAGGCAGATCCGTGAGATCAGGTGTCTACTATGAGAATTAAAGTCAAATGCGCTAAAAGTTTTTAGTGTTCAGCACACTTTATTGTTGTTATTATTATAAACAGAGAGGGATTGGGAAATTGTTCACTCCTTCTTCTTCTTCTTAGGGCAATAATTCAACATTAAATCCCCAGATGTATAACAAAACAGATGTTTTCAGGAGAGGTTTGCTGGGAGAATATATATATGACAGCTTTAGCTGTTTCAGGGCATTTCTGGCCACTTCCATGTACACAGGGGAGATGATCTCACACTCGTATCTAATTTCCCAAGACTCAATATACAGAAAAAAGGCACACCCAGATCTGAGAAAATCTGAAACCAATACACTTGTCCTGCGGTGAAACCATATTCATGACTCAGATTTGTCCATGTATTATAAAAATACAAGGCTAAACTTGACATTCGAACAACAATTTACAAAGATCAAATGCATAACTGTCTCACATAATGCTTTAGCAGATTAATAGACTATTACTATGTATGAAAAGCATGTAGGACTCAAGGACGACTCAAATATACATCTTTTAAATAAAAGAGCAGACAGATGTGAATGGAATGAGAGCAAAACAATACTTACAGAACAAAACAATGATGCTGATTGTTTCAAGTCCTCCTTTGTGAGAATAACTAAGACGGCTTTGAAATTAAAACTCCAGCTTGCGTTCGATTTGAGAAAGAAAAGGGCTTCATAAGGAAATAATGAAAGGGAAAATACGTTCAGACTGTGTTTGATCATTTGACTGTGAGTGGAAAAAAAGGAAAGGAACCAACTGAGTCTAAAAAAGAGGAACTGTTCGAATTCAGAGCCACATCCCTTATTTCTATCCAAATGGTGCTTAGTGCTTCGTGGCACTTGCATATTGACTTAAGAGCAACATCCAGTATAATATGTTCATAATACGGCAGGATGTTGTGCTTAAGTCAATATTGACTGGCATCCTCATTAAAATGATTCCCACAAAGATTCTAACTAGTCGCTAGTAAATCCCTAGATCACTATGCTATTTAGTCATTTATATTTATTTACATAATTTTCCACCTTCTTATCTATATCTCGCTTAGGTTTTTTAGGATGTTCAAATAATATCTAAAATAAGATGAATGAAGCAGAAAGGATAGAAAAAAAATTGAGGCAAATAGACCACAAAGAAAATGAGACTCACCGTTAGTCTGGTCAAATGAACAGAGGTGTTTCTCTAGTTGTGTTCCAGTAGAGTCCAACTGTGCCTTAAAGCACCAGCCTCCCAGGGTCCACATGTATATATAGGCTCTCTCTCCCCTGCGGCACTCCCCCTTCAGATTAACTCCATCCCCTGCCAGCATTCCTCGAGCCCACTAAGGAGATGAGGGACACAGACAGACTTCATCCTCTAAACATTCCTGCTTTCTGAAATATAGCAGCATGTAGTGGTGGAGAGACTGAAACGCTTAGTAGCGTGTTTCCCGTATAAAACATCCTGCATGCTTTGGCTTTCTGAACTGGTTGTCAGGGTTACAGACATTCACAGTGGCTTCTATATGAGACTCTACGGTAATATGGTAAATTAGAAAACATATTTTATGTTGTAATAATCTTTTTATAGTCTTTTTTTGAGCAGTATGTGGTGGTGGAGAGCCAGAATTACTTAGTAGTGTTCTTCCCATATAAAACATCCTCCATGCTTTGGGTTTCTGCATGGGTTGTTATGGGTACAGACTTTCACAGTGGCTTCCATATGAGATGATATGGTAATATAGTAAAATAGAAAACTTATTTTAAGTTGTAATTATTTTTTTACTGTCTTTTTTGAGCAGTAAGTAGTGTTGGAGAGCCAAAAATGCTTAGTAGCGTCCTTCATGTATAAAACGTCCTGCATGCTTTGGGTTTCTGCACGGGTTGTGATGGGTACAGACATTCACAGTGGCTTCTATATGAGACGATACGGTAATATGGCAAAATAGAAAACTTATTTGAAGTTGTAATAATTTTTACTGTCTTTTTTTGAGCAGTATGTAATGGTAGAGAGCCAGAAATGCTTTGCCCTTTAACTGCTTTTTTCCTAAGGTCGCTAGTAAGCACACTCAATGCATTTTTTTTCAACACATCCCATCACTTCTAAAATGTCAACCTCTACTAAATGGTTGATATGTCGGCTTATGATACAAGTACCGTAATTATTACATATTTTTTGAAAATTCTGAAAATATGAAGTGTAAGGCCAATTTATTTAAAA